ATAAAACAAAATTGAAGTGTATTTCAAGTAAGGTGATGCAATTGGTACTTCCGTTGATTCTAATATAGTTGTTTAGTGTTTTTAAACTTTTAAGTGATTTTGTTGGTAGCTGTTCATATTTGTTTATATGACAGAACTCTATTCATTGAATTCCATTTTTGTTTCTAACTTGAACTAATTCTTCCACTCTTCTATTCTTAAGAACAGTCAACATAAGCTATAAAGATAAATAACCAGTACAATCACCCGGCGTGAACAGTGAGGTTGAAGTTTAACTGCTGCAGAAGTTCTGTATTCTGCTTTACAATGAGGATTTCTCTTAGAAATTGCTTTCCTTGTTCATCTGCTGTGAAGGCAGTCTTTTAAGGATGTTGTCTTGCTCATGGGATGCTGTGTATGGAGAGATAACTGTTACACATTTTGGGTTAGCGATTGTTTTTTTCTTGGTAGCAAACCAAACAACATTAATGGAATTCAAGTCTGTCTTATTTTCTCAATAGAAAACATAGATAGAGCCAACAGCCTTGGTTAAGCCTCAAAATATTCCACAAATTCCTGAAGTTTCAGCTTAAAAGCTCTTTCTACCTGTGAAATGAACTTAACTGGAACTAAAATAAATTTACCACGGAACTTGGCATTACTGTTCATGGTCGTATTTTGGATTATAGCTGCATTATGTAGCATGGTTTCAAGCACCATACATGAGAAAGGTTTGATTTATTTTTAAGTTAAAGGTATTTGATGTGTTCCCCCAAAATCCCTACCTGCAAGAAATTGTTTCTTCTCTCCCTGTAGTGCACTTACAAGGTAATAGCAAAATAACAGAACAACTATCTATAAACATTTACAACTATCTTTTTGTTTTCTAAAACAAATGTGGGAAAATTAGTCACAAAGATTTCATTTGTAGAGTGTGAGGAATGGAAGGCAGAAAAAAGTATCTTTGAAAGGCAAGTATTTTAATAGCTATGTTTATCATAAAGGCCAGTGGTTTCGGCTTATTAGTTCGTGGCATAATATGATGCCTAAAACTGGTTGAAGTTTACAGTATGTCTGCCACAAACGGGACATAAGCAGTCTGTTATCGTGCACTCTAGTCATGTTGTTATGTTTGATAGGTTTGGGGTTTGCCAATAAATGATGACAAAGTTAACATTTGGTTATTATGTATTATGAGCTCTTGTATATAACACCTGATCATGAGCAGCTTTAATACCTAGCAAAATATTTTCAGTTGACGTGAGAAATACATGTTTGTCTTCTTCACCTTAAGTAGTTTTCTATACCTTTTTACAAGATGAATAATTACTGAACATTAGAGCCTGGCCTTAGCTTATACTGTTATTAATAATAGTGACCCATTGTCTTTATTAGAGCTATTCTATAATTCAACATTGTAATTAAAATCAAAATATTATATTGAAGTTGTTCAACTTCCATTCCACTTGGACACTGTTACATGTAGGCTAGGGTTTATTTTGCCTTTCCTGAATTAGTCTTCTGCAAAAACTTGTCTCCTTGTATAAATCTTATTTGGGAGGGACATCAAGATGTGGCTGACCCATTATCTTAAACTAGCAGTAAAGGACCATATGTTCACTTTGAAAATGTTCTCTATCTATTCAAAGTGCAGAATCTGACTTATAAACTGCATTTAAATCTTAATACGTCAGAGTATGCTTACTATGGGTTCTTTTCAAAGTGTTCATTGAAAACATGAAAGAGGAAGTTGAATAGGTGAGCCGGTACATACAGTGCCTGTGGATTACCAGTGACAGTAAGGAGGTTCCAGCATACAATGGCTTTTGCTCATTGCACAGCATCCAGGGAGTCTTTGGTTGAGAGAAAAAGAAAATGCAATTAGAGATAGTCACTGACATCTAAGAATACTGTTTAAGTGTTCTAGAACACTCCATAATAAACCATGTAGAAGGAAGCATAGTTTTTAAAGTTGTTCTCATTTCAGGACATGTTTTGGCAGTATTCTTTGTAATAAAGATGAAAAAACCTGTTTCTAACCAAGCATTTAAAGCCTAAAGACTTGAAGGCTGCAGTCAGTTCAAGTGCTGTGTGAGACAAAAATAACAGCCTCCGAGCGTCAGGTTTTCCATTCTTGACGCACCAGGTGAATGGGTTGCTTTATTGAGCGTTTACACTGTGGTGGCAGGGCAGGCCAGAGGAAGGGAGTGTGAGAGCGCAATGCGAGAGCGGAGTCAATACCCGGCGTTGTTGGATGCCTGTCAGTACTTGGAACGCTGGGGTTGGCTGCGTTAGTGTTGCCAAGTATTAGCTAAGCGCGCTGCTTTGGCAGCAGATTCTCAGAACATACTTTTTACAAAGAGTGAGAATAAGTTCATTTTAAAAAGAACAAAAATCTATAAGGGCTATTATTCTGAGGGTTGTTTCAACACTCACCCTGAATTTCTATAACTTCCCAAATAGTTTTCCAGTGTGCATATTTAAAACCGAACAAACTTTGTAGTTTTATTTGTATTTAATTATTTTTTCGTGATTTCTTTTAACACTTATTTTCCTTTTTAAGTTGCAGACAAGTGTTTACAAAATTCTTCTAATTTTAAAAGCCCATGACAGTCTAAACTGTACCTTTTCAGTTGAGTTTGAAACAGAAACACTGTGGACTAAAGTGCATTCACTTCTACAGCCTTAAAATAACAAGGTGGCTTGCTCGCATTACTTCAAGTGTTTACGTAACTACATTGTATTACTTTTCTATTGCATATGAGTAACTAATTACTATAGCACCTCTCACTTTTTATAGTATTTATATTTCTGTAGTCGCCAGTAACTTTAAGTACAAACAAAAAAAGCATAGCACTCTGTAGGCTGTACAGAAGGACTCAGAAAATATCTGTGTATGTCTGTAATGTATGTAACAAAAATACAACACTCCTCTGTCTCTCCCATCTACCCTCCTAAGTGCAAATTCCTTTTTCTTGGTAATCCAGGGCTTGACTGTTCTTATTGTGTTCTGTTTCCTCCTTCCAAGTCTCGTGTAGTCTGTTGTGCAAAGAGACACAGAGGTGGGGACCGGGACAGGAAGAGGGATTCCTGAAGAGCCAGAGAGACGCATGCTTTTCGTCCTGAACCGCCGCATGTTCCCCCATAACCATAATGCAGACCCACATTTAACATTACCTAGTTATAGATCTACTGCGTCATACTGCTTCACGGAACAGGCGATACACTTCTCATTTCAAAAAAACTAAAATTTTGAAATGCTGTAGCTTGAGAATGACAGAGAAGAAGGGGGAAAGGTGACAATACATACCCAGGCACTATGAGAATGCATCTATGTCATATGGGAAGGTCACCAAATCACTCGTATGCACTATGGGGAGAGAGGTTTTGATGGCTGGGGAGATGTTGAGAAGGGAGAAGATGAGGAGGTTCACATGGAAAGTTCCGTCATTCATTTTATTTAGCTAAATTTTTTCATTATCTGCACCTTTTGGGAGCTTTTGTGTGCACCTGAAGGATCTGAAGCGTTATGGGATGATAAGTCTTTGGTGACTAATTCAGGAGGGGTTCTCAAAGAATATGGATGGCAGAAAACAAGATTTGTAAAGCAGTGTGTTGAACAGTTAATTTCCCCTTTTTAAAAAGGAAGCTGAAAATCATGTAAGATAACAAATAGGAGGGGACACACAGAGCAGCCCCATGCAGTGCCTTTGCCAGTGACGCATAATCAGAGTAACAGAACTGTGCGTAGCTTTGGAAGGCCTGCCTGTACGTTAGGACAGCACTGTTGCAGGTCCAGTGCTGCAAGCACCTGCATGGCAAATCCTTCGTGGTGGGATAACCACAAGGTTGACTGAAGAATAGGTAGGAGGTGTGCTAGTGAACCAGCTGCAGAACTGAGCCTGCTGTTCTTACCCTGGAAATGGAATGGCAGTAAAGCACATCTCTGGTTGAGCCTTCTGGATGCGGCACAGTTTGGGAATCTGATCGTGGCCATGACGCTTCCAGATTTTTGTAATGGCTCCTGGTTGAGACCTGGTGCCTGCCTACGGGTCTCATCTGGGTGAAGTCAGACTGGGCACTTCAGGACACTGCCAGCTACCCTTGTCAGCAGCGTGTTGCAGTCTCCCAGGCGAGGCTGGCACGCACTCCGTCTGTCAGTGCCAGCCAAGAAGGCAATAGAGAGGGATGATGTGGCCATCTGAATCCGGAGCGGGATGATGTGGCTGTCTGCACACAGGGCAGGGCTGCAGCAGGCACAGTTTACATTGGTTTGCACACAGAACCACACCCAAAGGATTGAGGTGTTTTTCCTCTATATCCTCCTAAAGCAAAATGAAACAGTTCAGCGTTTAACTGCTTGCAGTTAAAAGCAAGCTGTGTAACTTTGTGCTGGAAGACAGCAGAGCATAACAGGCTTATTTAGGATCTGATGAGAGGATGCTGAGAGACCTGCTGCATCTTGGCTGTTCGTTAATGCCTTGCAGTCAAGCTGTAATTCCTGATAAAACAGCATGGGAAATTAATCGGCATAGGTATCAGATCTGTTTTAGCAGATATGCTGTGAATGCATGTGAAAGGCTACTTTGTTAATTCTGAAAGTGCAGTTAATAAACATTAATTTCCAGACTGAAAAATGGAGAGCAGCTTTTTGGGTAGTAACAACTATCTCTAGTTCTTGTGTGCTATTCTCTGACTTGGCAAGAAAAGAGGCTGTTACTAAGTCGGTATGAGCTGTTCTGGAGAGAAGGAAGTATTTATTTTGTCTGGCACTGTGTGCTCCTGTTGTAGAATAATGATTGGTTAATTATTCTTCTTTCACTTATGACCTTCTTGGTTTGTCTGTGGCCAGATTTAGTTGTTTATGTAAACTACTGTGATGAGCAACAGCAAGAAATTTCCTATCCCTCTTAAATATATTCTAGTTAATAAATACACTAAATATATTTTACTACTGCTCTTTGTTAACTAAATTCAGAACTCTATGAAAGAAACCAATGTGGCTGTATGTTTATCAACAGGCCAAGTTCTGGTAGAAATTTCAAGAACACACAAGAAACTTAATGACAGTCTAGAGGAGAGTGTAAGTTAAACAATTTCTTTTTAAATTTATATTCCTTTTGATGTTATAAATTACTTTTTGCCAGTTTTTAATAATCCTTCATTCATTTGCTTTTAAAGTTCAAAAAATTTCATAAAGAAATTATATCTGAACTGGAGAAGAAAACAGACCTGGATGTAAAATACATGAACGTAAGTACGTTCAATTCTAAAGTCATACTTTATTTTTCTATTGCTAGTCAAAGAATTTTTCAGAAGTTGTTCCCTAACAATTAATCAATATGTTAGACTTGAGCTTTAGATACATGAACATGGCAAAAGGTTTTATGCTTACTTTGAGTTGAAAAGGGAACCAAAGCATGACTTAATGGCATTTTCAGACTAAAGTTGAGAAAGGCAATTGCCAAACTCATTTGATGTGTATTAGCGATATCTCGTAGATTATGGGAACGCTTTTTAGTCACTTCCCCAATTACATTGCTGAGCACATTATGAAATGTTTTAAACGCTTTGATTGCAGGCAACTTTAAAGAGGTACCAAACTGAACACAGAAGCAAATTAGATTCTTTAGAGAAGTCTCAGGCTGAGCTGAAAAAAATCAGAAGAAAAAGTCAAGGAGCACGAAATGTAATGAAATACGAGCATAAAGAAATGGAGGTCAGTGTATTGTCTCTTCAGTTCTTTCTTTCTTTCTTTGTATGAGAACTAGCCAAAAGAAAATGTTAAGCTATTACAGGTCCCATCTGAGTCTGTTTTAAAACTTGACTTGCGAAGCTTACCACAATTTTTTATGTATGCACTGTTATTAGTTAATACACACAACTCCTCTGTAAGTTGCTTGGCAACAGTTAAACTCTACAGTTTCAAAGAACATGTATTTTAGGTTCCTCAAAGGTGGTTTATATTGAAGGCACTCCTAGAGTATATATTCCAGTTCAAATTAAGCTCTGAACTGCACTGCTGTACATATTCGAGAGACTTCTGCTTCAGTTTCTAGGTCTCATCCCGTGACTGTTACTTGAAATTTTTTTTTAAATACCTGTGTAACTACACCTTTATGCAGAGGTTTATATAGGCAGTCAGCTATGCTATGCAAATACGGTAGTAATGGGCTATAAATGAATTTCCCAAAGTAGGCAAATGCCAACTTCTGCTATCACTTATTAGCACCTTTCCTACTGATCTTAAAGCAGCATTGCCATCTTGAGGCGAAATAAGAAATGGCAAGGCAATGAAGAAACTATTTTAAATAGTAAGCCGTATTCTGGTTGTCACGTATACCTCAGAACATACTTGCCATTGATATTTTTATTTGCACGATACTTCTATTTCATGCTAGATCCTTTTTTTTCTCCATATTTTTCTATTTTAATTTTCTTTTCAAAGAAAGCTTTTTTTATAACACAGTACAGTGAACATAAATAGTACTAGCTCCCATTTCTTACTACCTATCTTTTAACCTGCATTCATAACAGTTCTTTTTTTTTAGGTATTGGACTGAGAATTCAAGTATTAGCATTTAATCACTGTTTAGCCACGAATCCTTATAATCTCAGACAAATACAGTTTAATCTTTTTAGGAACTCATTTTCCCCTCTCTAAAATGAAGTAGAGATTCATGATAGCTTTGTGAGAGTAAATGTAACTGCTATGGAGCAGATGAAGGTAATTAGTCTAATTAGAACACCTGTGGTGTTAAAATTGCTCTGCACAGTTGCTGCTTTGATGTCATATTCTTATTTACCACAGCATTTTATTTAGAGGCTAAAAGACTGTTTCTTGGTTTGCTTCGCTTCTGCCCCTCCTCACCCCCTAAATAGATTATTGATTGCCTGTAATGAGATTATGCATTTACTTGATGGCACTAGGGAAGTTGGGTGTGTGCATGGAAAGAGAAGGAATTGGAAGTAGAAGTGACCCTACCCCACCCACCTTTCGAAAACCTTTTTCTAAGGCTTTCAGAGTTTGCTTCAGTAATTGGGTATAGGATCAGATAAAACTCAGAGACTGCATGTGAGGTTTTTTCATTATTTTTTTTTAACACACCCCCTCTCCCCCCCTGTCCCCCAGTATTTGGAAACCGTGACCTCCCGACAGAGTGATATTCAGAGATTTATTGCAGAAGGCTGCAGAGAAGCTCTCCTTGAAGAAAAAAGAAGATTCTGTTTTCTGGTTGACAAGCACTGCAGCTTTACCCAGCACATGCACTTCTATCATGTTCAGGTCAGTGGCATAGTGTACACAGAAATGCAGCTCCTGAAATCTAATCATATAGGAGAGCTTAAGTATCTTCTGAGTACGTAGATCAGCTCTAAAGCACTAATGTAGCACTTAAGAACAGAGTAGTGCCAGACAAGTGGTGTGATCAGTTCACACAAAATGCTTACGATGCAATATTCTCTTAAACGTATAAAATAAAGCAACAATAAAGGGTTACTGTGACTTTTAAAATCATATATTAAGGGAAAAATGTATGGACTGATCAGGTATTTCCAGTATCTGACCCTGTCTCTTTCTACAACATCTTATTTGTTCCAAGAGGTATTACTTCCAAAAATCTTTGAAAATATTTCCATTTTGCTGGTGTTATTATTTTTGGTATAAGGAAAATGAAGAAGTAGGTCTGTGCAATTTTATGAAAAAGCCTATCTTTGACAAGTACCTCTTAAACTTGGATGCAGTGTGCGGACTTCCTGAAATCCAAGCTGCCTGGGTGGCAGGAAATCTGTAGCGATGCCACCAAAGTGCCTGAAAAAGTCAAAATGATGATAGACGAAATAAGGACACCTGGTTCCACTCCACAGCCTTCACCCATGATAGAGAGAAATACCACGGTACGTTGTTCTTTGATGGTTAAAGGTTCTCTCTCTTAAATGGGAGTTGAGTGGCTTCACTGACTTCATTTGGTGCCTAAGCATTTGGGATCAAGTCTGTAACGTACCTCTGCCGGAATATTCTGGGGTTAGGTGTGAAAGCAAAACCATTAAGCTGAAGTTCTACTACTGGAAAAAGACACAGTATGGTAGGCGGAAGCAGGGATCCAAACAAGGCTCAGTTTTCACTTGGGTGTCTAAGACTACTTCTGCAGAGCCCAGCCTCAGGACTACTTTTTTTGTTATAACTATTCCCTTTCTTGCGTTCTTATCTGTAAATAACAATAATTACATACTCCGTAGTTCAACATAAACTTTAAACAAAGTGTTGTTTTCTATTTCCTTTCTTTCTTCCCTCCATGATTCTTATTAGCATATTAGAGTACAGGTTAAATTCTAAATTCTACTTATTTGTATGTTGTATCGCCATTAGTTGTAGAATTTTTAAATGATACTAGTAAACATCATAGCATTCCCACTAACAAATGTTTCTCAAAGGACAGAAGCTTCTACAAACTATTCTATCAGCAATTTCATAGGAACATGAGGACTTTTCCGACAGGCCTAAATACGTATCACTTGGGAAAGTTAAGCATTGCTTTCTAGAATTTCATGTTGCAGATAAGTTGTCAGTGTCTCCTCAGTGTTGTGATACTGATTTTTTTGTGGCTCTAGATTGGAAATGATTTTTATCCTCCTCATGAAAACGCGTTGAAGGTGCCCCCTGCTCCTACGGGCAGGGCATACACTAGCCCACTAGTCGATATGTTTAACAATCCTGCAACTGTTCCAAAGACATCTTCTGAAAAACTAAATAATTCAGCAGGTGAGTGTCACTTTGTTGCAGACTGTAACATACCGTAGTGTTGGAAATCATCTTAGGACTTCTTGCCTACTATGATGATGTGAATTCCAGGACATACAGAGGAGTAGAAAAATGGTCTTTACCAAGTATTTTTGTAAGTTACCTAACAGGAGAAATATGTGTTATGAGAAGAATTGTTGGCAGTAAAATGCAGGTCAAGATAAGTAGATTCTATTTTAATCACTTTCTGTGTGTCCCTGATTAACGCAGCTTAACTGCTCTTATGACTTCCAGTCTTATCGGAAGAATGCGTTCTATACTTTCAAACAAGATACATCTGAGTGATTGTGTCAGTGCACACAAATAAAGATAAACTACTATTACAGTCTCGCTTGGGTTTCCTTTAAGGGCACATAACAGTTAGGGAAAAATGCACTTGGGACAAAATGAGCAGAGTCTTGTACTTTTTTCCTGAAAGGTAAAATCCCATGAAGATTCGTTTTCTAAGTTTCTAATATACTCACTTTTTACTTCCTCTGCTATAGGGACGGAAGGGAAAGAACTAAGCCTAGATCACAACATAAATGCACAGCTCTTTAATGTGATAATAGCAATTCCAGCATTTCTTCCTTAAAAATGCATTTACAACATAGTGTACTGGTCAAATAACATACACGTTTGAGACCTCCTTTACGTTGTCTTCTGGTAAACATCTGGTGTCTGCAAAGTGCCAAGTATCTGCAACTCCCATCGATTCAGCTGAAGTTGAGTGCTAGGCACTTTGAAAATGAAATCTTAAGACTTTACACACAGTTACTTTTTTAGAATGGAAAATTTTCAAAGGTCTTACGGCTGTGAACGTTTAGCACTTCATGCTAAAACAGGAAAGAAGTAGCAAGTTAAAACTTGCGTAACTTTTTATGTCGGTTGGTTCAACTTTATTGTGATGGGGGGTGTATATAAATGCACAGGCTATTAAGAACTTTGTGATGATCAGAAACATTGGCGGATAACTGGGGTGTCTAAGTGGCAACCAAAGCAGTACAAAGTCTCAGAACTTGACAGAGGAATACTCAAGTGCAAATCTACTCTTTTTTTTTTTTTTTCCCCCATCAGACTAATAATTGTATTTAATTTTGTTAGTGTGTGGCTAATTTTGCTTTTTTTTTTTTTTGCTTTATTTTTCTTTTTGACAGAGAATTCAGATGATGCCAGTTTATCACGTTCAACTTCTGTTGCCACAGGACTAAATATAATGAAAAGGCAAAAAGTAAAGACAATCTTCCCACATACTTCTGGAAGTAACAAGACGTTGCTTAGCTTTGTCCAGGGGGATATCATCACACTTCTTGTTGCTGAAGAAAAGGACGGCTGGCTTTACGGGGAACATGACACAACTAAAGTGTAAGATAATCAACATGTTACCCAGTTTGAACATGAAGGAAAAATGTGTCTTATCAGATTTTGTTAGCAAATATTAGTAAATTGTTTTCCACCTTTTTTGCTGGCTGTCATTGACTGGGGACTTGGAGTCTTCTGTAAGGGAAATCACTGCACTTCTTTTAGGGATATTTGGTATCATCAGAAATCGGGTCTTTAAACGTTAAATCTCAGTTCATTGAGTCTGTTTCATCCACTGTTGTGTTTTGAAAGATCTTTCTAATTTCATATAATATGAAATTGAAGAACTTTCCCATTACAGAAAAGGATGGTTTCCGTCGTCATATACCAGACCACTAGAAGAACCAGCGGAAGAAAAAGCATTTGTCCCAGTGCCAAGGTAACATTTTGGGTGTGACTTGCAAAATGCCCTGTCTTCTCTAACACTTACTAAAAACATTATTTTTCTGCTCATGTTCTTTGTTGCTCAGTAACGTATGCAGTAAATACTTTCTAACAATCTGTAGTATGATGCCTTGATTACATTAACATGCTTTAATGGTTACATGAAGACCCAAGAACTAGCTTCACCTCAACTTTAATTTAGCATCCCACTGACTTCAATGGGGTTGTACACCTGCCTTAACTTCCAACTCATGCATGTTTGTGCTTTCCTGCAGCTACAGATAAGTGAGAGAATCATTATAGGAATTGAAAATGTTATTTGTTGGGTTCTGTCTTGCAGCCCTGCACCAATCCGAAGTGTTAGTTCTGTAAATCTTGTGGAAAAAGGTGATGTTGTCCTCCCACCACCAGACTACCTGGGGTCTTTGCAAACAGATAAGAGAATGGAGCCTTCCAAAGGTCCTACTGCTAAAACACCAACTGACAGACCAGAAAATGCAGGTCCGGTAAGTAATCAATACCATGAATCCAAATGTTCTGCCCTGCTTACTTTTCTTGACCTACTTCACTGAGCCCTTAAATGAAGTCCCGGAATATTCTAGCTTAGCTACTTGTACTTGACTTCAGGGGCCCTTCGACGCAGTCGTCTTCAGAGTATCATGGGGTTTTGGCATTTCAATCCATCCGTAGCAACAGGAAGGGAGAATTCTTCAGGGATGTAACTAAGAGTACTAGAAGACTTACTCTGCATAGCAAACTACTTAGGAATGGAATCTGTTAAACGTAAAAATAAATTCTCACAGAAAGTAGTACAAACCCATCATCTTAAGTGATTTTTAGAGCTATAGGGAGACAGGGGATTTAAAGCAGCTTAAACTCTGTATTCAGGAATGTTTTACACAACCCCATAAAAGTTAGTGTTGTTTTTGTGGATGTGGCTGAGGGAGACATGTACAAACTCAGGTCTGTATTCAGCAAAACCACAGCTGAATGGAAATACATTTTTATAAATATATAATACTATATGAAGCTGGTATTTGTTATTAAGTCAGCATTCAAACCAATTCAAAATTTAAGACTAAGCTAATAAAACTCAGCAATTACTAGTCTTTTTCTTGCTCCTTCTTTAAGTAAATATTTTGCCAATGTGTATCTAATGGTGATGATAAACTTTTTGAGACTTTCATCAAAACGTCTCTTGAAGCAGAGACCACATTTTGATGGCAAAAGACTTTTTTTTTTTTTTTGGTTACACGTATATAGAATATATATATAAAACAAGGTTGTCACTGCTAAAATTGAGAGACTGTACCAGAGTAAGATGCAAAGTTCCATTAGTAGGTACCATCGCAAACTTCTTGAAAGTCAGGAATGCTACAGTTGGCTGCCAGTAGCTAAAAAACTTACATTTTATTATTTATTGGTACAGCTAAAATATTTTATATATCAGTATAACATCTAAACAAATTTTGGGTTGTCCTTCTGACAGATGTTTCTGCTTTCTAAGTAATGTGTTGACTCATACAGTAGAAATTGAAGTGGCCTTTGTAAATTTGTACTTCATGGAAGTAAAATTAACTAAAGAAACTTAAAAAGCAGAAACTGAAAGGTTGTTGCATCACATTTTGGTTAATATTGAAAGAGAGCATTTAAGGTTAAAGGATGTCAGAATATTTATGGCGGTACTCCTGCAAAATGGAAAGGCATCAGGAAACAATGGTCATGTCTGAAGAAGCCTCCTGTCCTGTTTCATGCGAGTCTACGATCAGGATGTCAAGTCTACCTACAGCATTTTTTACTTAGAGGTGTTACGCATTGGTAGGGGTTAACAGGGCTTTATTATCTTGACAAGCTAAGAGGAAGAACTGTGTTTCAAGTAAGTAAAAACAGAAGCATTCCCTTAATTAATAGCAAATATATAACTAACTTCCAATACATCACTCTTGAACTCTAGAAAAAACTACCATTGGAAAGACACAACCATGACACAAATCACATCAATTGTCAGCAACATCTGAATTTTAAACTATTATCTGCATTTCAGAAGTATGGAGAAAAGATTTTAATAAATGGGGGGAAAGGAAATTATATTCATTTTCTTTATTGAATAAATAGTGTGTCTTCAAAGAAATCACTTTTGAGATCAAATCGTAGACTTGTATCTAGCTCTTAAAAGAACAGGTCACCTCAACTTTACAAATATAAAAAATGTGAAAAATTGCTGGAGGTTCAGCTGTACAGGCCTTTCGGAAATGCTCCCTCCAGTCGTACTTGGCTTTGTGAAGCCACTTTACAGCTATTTCAGAAGAGCAGGTATAGATACAACACTGCTACTAACTACTGCCAAAATATCTCTTACAGATGCAGAAATTGATACAAACAAGTATCTTTTCTCTGGCAGGGAGTGGAAAAAATGTTAGTGCTTCCAATTATAGAAAAATCTGTGTTCCTTAAAATGCATGAAGAACTACAGGCAGAGCTGAGTGTCTTTCATAACAAAAAAAGATTAAAGTTGCTTGACAGGGACTTGTGAGGCTCTCCTCTCAGAGATCTTACCCCAGGCAGACTAGACTGGTAATGCTTTGGGATACTTTTTTTAATCTAAATATTCTTATTAAAAGATTAGCTGATTGGAATTTTCTGACAAAAAATATTAGCATATATGTTTTCAAATATAGCATATTTGAATCCACATTAAGTGGTTTTACTTATCAGCAGTGACCCTTGTTGTCTAGGAAGTACGTAATTTGTGCAGTGATGTCACGTTTCTAGGACAATGTTCTTCCGTGAGGAATAAAGCTTTTCCAATGCATGAAATGACTATCAAAAAATATTATCTAAATCTTAGTGTTTGGTCACTTTCAAATCAAGTATCTGGGAACTTCTAAAATCATTATGAAGACGAGCATCTATGTTTTGACCCATGTGTGGGGTTTTCATTTTTGGATAAAGCAGCAATGACCCTTAACAGTTACGTAATGTCAGATTTATACATCGGTTCACTTACTCTGTGGCTAGCTGTTGAGACCTATGGGATCAACACAACCTTGGCAAGTTGCCAAGCAAGCCCTGCAGTGAGTTCTTTGCCCTGTGACAAGTAAAAGTCCATGTGACTTACTATGGAGCTTAAAAACTAAGGAATTTGTTAAATTGTCTCAGTAGCGCTGTGCTGCTGTCCTCAGTACGGCTGCCTGTCCTCAGTCGGCTCTCCAGAGCAGTCACCCCACAGGTCGTTTGTTTATTCTGTGGCATTAGTTCAAGGGGTTGGGAATAAACTTACAATTTGTGGACTGACATTCTTGTTGAACTGAAAAACCAAGAGGAACAGCAGATCATTTAGTTGACAGACTGGGACAGAATTCTAGTTAGAACAGTATATTCTCTTAGGAGTAGAAAACAAATACATCTTCTTTGAGATTCTAAATTTCCACATGGAGAGCAAGATAAATTAGGAATCCTGGAGTATAAAATAATGACTATTCTTGTTAAGGTACGCCATAACTCATAGGAGCTACCTCTTCACTGTGACCCCGTGATTCTTCTTACCTGTTACCACACAAAACAAAAGAACTGTAGAGGAGAGTCGCTGCACTTGCACCCAAGTTTTTGCTCCAAAGTCACTGTTTGCTTTCGTTCTTCTGGAGTTGCAAAGCTTTCTTGTGTTTCCCACTTCATGCGAGTCACCAAACCCCACATCACCATAAGGCTTTGGAAATGAGCTCAACATTATACCAGGCTGGTGTGTATGCTCGTGCAGAGTTCACATGCGCGTAGGACAGCATGGTTAGTGTCTTTTATCCAGAAGCAAGAAATTATTCACTGAGGCATCTTATTTTTATTTCAGCATACACAGAAAAAATAGCTCAGGATTTCAAGAAGGGAAGATGAAGAATGGTTCTTGCAAGTTAAATTGTTCATGCTGTGTTATGTAGGACAGTACTCTGCAGAACAGTATCAATTAAAAAAGAATTGATGGAGCTTTGATGAGGGTTGCTGTTCAGTAAGAAGGAGCACGTAAGGCATTCATTCATTCAAATTAATTTTAAGGGCTAATTAGGCCTAATTCTAAAGTCTAATTCTATTTATGAGTGATGATCAGAGGAGATACCTGAACTTCTACTTTGTAAATCAACAACAGCTAAACAGTGTAGCTTGTATAAAAAACCCCTGTACATGAGAAATCTGCCCTCACTTCAGGCCTTTAATATCTAAATGTGTCATTGTGCTGGCTGCTACCTTTTTTAACCTCAAGACTGTACAGTTACATGAAGATACACTGACTGTGTTCACTCTAAGATCTGATCCAAGCCCAGTTTTGGCATTTTGCTGTGACAACTAGCCGTTTATAAAGTATGCTATAGAAACAACATGGTATCCTGTTTGTGCTGCACGGAGTTCTGTCCTTTTGGCTGGTGGCTGTTGCAGTGACATTTCATTTACTCTTTTTAACCCATAAAATGCCCAGCTATAGACACCAAGTGATCAATGATCTTAAACCTGGGCAGGGATGGAAACCACAAAAAAAAAAAAAAGCCAGATAATGCTAACACCATTTTTCAGCTTCCTAATTTTGATGTTCTGAGATAATTCTCCCCTCCACAGCTACCTCTCCACAGTTCAACTGAAGCACACAATAATTATTCTAAATGGCTAAATATTTTAGCCTGCTTCAGTGATGCGGTCTCTTTTCCTTAGCAGGATAGTGAGACCGCCTGTACCATGTTTTTGTAAATCTATGTAAATATCTTCTTTTACAGAAACCTGATATGAATGGCATTATAAAACCACCTTTTCTAAGGTATGTTTTTTAAAGCTTTTACACTAATTTAGTTGTGATGATTTTTATATTGGCTTATGTTATTGTATTGATTGTGAGGGGAAATAAGGATGCTTTTCCCAAATTACTCCATGACCTTTCCTAGGCATTGGTAAAACATTATGGCTAAAATTGGTTGCCCTTTTCTTGAGAACGGGCATCAGATAAAATACAACGTATAGGTCCTTCTCAGAAAATTCACTGTTTCTCCAGTAGTTTGACAGGGAGCAAAACTCAAACTATGTCTTTGAAGGTTAAAAACAAAAATCACAGAATGTTCAGGGTTGGAAGGGACCTCTGGGGATCATCCAGTCCAACCCCCCTGCCGAAGCAGGGTCACCTACAGCAGTCTGCACAGGACCTCGTCCGGGCAGGTCTTGAATATCTCCAGAGAAGGAGACTCCACAGCCTCCCTGGGCAGCCTGTTCCAGTGCTCCGTCACCCTCAGAGGGAAGAAGTTCTTCCTCATGTTCAGACGGAACTTCCTGTGCCTCAGTTTGTGCCCATTGCCCCTTGTCCTGTCGCTGGGCACTACTGAAAAGAGTCTGGCCCCATCCTCCTGACACCCACCCTTAAGATATTTATCAGCATAGTATCTTTAAGACTGGGAGCTGTTTAAAAGGATATCCAGATCTAACTGGGCATTACCTTCCCAAATTTTGGATCACTGCAAAGTGAGTCTCCATATGTAAGCTTGTTTTAAAAATTCAAGTTAAACTATGAGTTGCACAGAATCCTTTAGTCTAAACCATAATGTGGTCTTTAGACAACTTGGATGAAGAAACTGCATGGCTTAAATTTGGTTCTGTATTGCAGCAAGCCTTCTAGTAACTGTGTGCATTTCTTTGCAGTGGAGAAAATCCTTTTGCAACTGTGAAACTCAGACCAACAGTAACAAATGACAGATCAGCACCAATTATTCGATGAATATACGGTCCATACACATGTACTTCCTCCTTATAAACACCATTTTCAGTAATGACAATTACCATCTAAACTTGTTCTAAAAATTTATTTAAATGTAATTACTGTATAATAGAATCATATTGGAATGGATTTCTGATTTTTTTTTTAACCTCTACTTTCTAATGAGGTATGCTTTGGGCTAACATTCGAGCTCTTTGGCTTGATTTTACAGTATGCCTTTTTTTGTAGTAGGAATTGTGAAAATACTGGAGATAGTTTGGATACTCTAGTAAACCAGTGTACCTAATAGCTTACAAATCTGAATCTTTGGCATTTGTTATTTGGAAACTGCAATGGTAAGTTCTAGAATCTAAGCCTGCATATGCCACTTACTCAGTAAGAAAAGATGTTTGTTGGTTTTCTTTTTCCAAACTGCCTTATTCCAGAATAGATAATTGCCTGTATAAAGTGATTATACATTATTTTGGTTAAGAAAGAAACCCTAGGTTATAAATAAATATTTATCCTTTAAGAATAGACAATTTCTAATGCTCTGCTTAATGCTCAGGTACAAATTTTCAAGTGTTAACATAAACCTGTTTTAAGTCTAATGTTGTATGGTCAACATACTTTTCAGTGATAACTTTTTCTTTAAAAATGTTGTCAAACTTCAGTCTTTTAAAAAGTCATAATAAAGCAGTGCCATGATATTTTTTTTCCTGAAATTCTAATATAAAAAGCTGCCTTTGAAGTTACTGCAGCCTTCCACAACAGAAAAGCAGATTCAGTTTGAAAATTCTTGGTTAAGGAGCCTAGCAATGGCATAAATACTGGCATAGAACAGTATCTGAGTGAAGGGAAATACAGCTTCTAACTTCAGACACAAGCAGAGTTGTACAGTTTGTTACCTCAGGCTCAGATTTCTAAATCCAATGGAGCTAGCTTGTCTGACAGACTTCTCCTACAGTAACAATCATCTCGGAGTAGCCTAGCATGCCAGAAACTGACCCTTCACTAGGCATCAGCAGCGAGTGCTTCGGCACTGTATGCCTCCAGTGATATCTCCCACCTGCTGTATGAAGTCTGTATTGTGACTAATACCAGTGATTAATCCTTACTCTAAATTGATTAATCCTTACTCTAAATCATTCAACTTTTTACATATGTATGTGCTTCCTACATCATCCCATGGATATTCAATTTGTTGTGTCTGCTTCTACTACTATAAACAGTGAATTCAAGTCATGTGAAATGCCTTTCAGTTACTTAATATCAAAAAATAGTATATGAGCATGTGATGGCTGCAGAGGTAGAGTCCACTTACTCCTCCTCTTCTCATGCTGCCTTTCAAGTTCAAGGCTGAGGACACTTCATTTGCTATGGAACCTTGCATAAATATCCATTATCCCCTTTTGGAACACCAACTTTTCAGAAGTGTAACTTACACCTGGGCTAATTTTTTAAAGCATATTACAGGCAAGTCAGCCTGGACTGTATAAGCTTTCAATAATTTGGTATCAGAATTAAATAATCTGAAATGCAGAAGGCTTTACTCAGGGCAGCTCATAGTTTCTGGAGGAGAATGCCCTGCTGCAGTCAGAAGTTGCTGCTGTCTGTGAACCAATACCAGTTCCATAGGGTTCGGCAGCTTCTGCTACAGCTGCTAGGCCACTGCAGCCCTTGCAAGTCATCTGTGTCGCTACCAGCGGAACAGTCACTGACTAGGACTTGCTGTTTGTTATTACTTGTGCCTTCAGAAGAGGGTGAGGGGCCATTATCAGCACAGCGGTAGCACACACAGCACTTGAAACACTTTCCTGAAAAAAGCATCTGATAGGATTCTGGCAATTATTTATCCTCCTTTGTAGCTAGGATCCTACTTACATGTTCTCAGACACATACTTAATAACGCAGCCACAAGTTGAGGATTGCAAAAGGAAAAGCAGTTTTATTTAGTTGTCAACAGGTGCCACTAAACATGGAAAACAAGTTCGGTTTTCATGTTTTGAAATGCACATGCTCACAAAAGATTAAGTTTAAATTACATGCAAGAGACTAAATTTCTTCACACTTTACAAAACAGGTCTGAAGCAAGTAAAATGATTGTACATGACATTTACATTAGAAAGAGTATGCTAACAGTTGTAGCTTCCATAAGCACATCCACGTTCCTCCCCTTAGCCAAAAGCTGCCCCACAATTAGGGCATCTTCTCTGCCTCAGTGCAAGACAGAACAGAATCCCAATGGGAAAGAATACAATGGCACACAAAACACCGAGACAGGTGAAGGTGTCCTCCAACACGCCAACCCTGTAAAAATGGAAAACAGACTCTGTCAAGCACACCCAAGTTTGCCCCAAAGTTACCACTTTGTGATCTGGCAGTCACTAAAAACCACACCGTTTTATAAAGCAAGATAAGGCACAAAGTTCTGAGTGGGTTTGGTTGCTTATTTTTTTCTTTTAAAAGGTTTTTTATTTTCATCACTTGCAGCAGAAGGTTTTGAATTATACCACTTAAAGAAAAACAGGAACTTTGCAAGTGATCAGACTGCAGATAAGAAGTCTAAAACGTTCAAACTAGCTGTTTAGTGCTAGACAGCAACCATTTCTCTATCACTGCAGTCCAAGACTGGTACTTAGAACAAAACATAGCTACCCCACCTCTGAGCAGTTGTATCAACTCCAAATATCCGTTAATGCCAGCACACTGAAGAACACACACACAGGTGTAGCACCTGCTATACAGTGAAAACAAGTCACAGCACTCTCAGTTCAGAAAGCTTTAAAATGAAAGCCCGTGCCTCTGCAGCCACCTCTGGTCCCTAAAGAATCTGAAAGTCACAGCTCCTTGGGCTTCTTGCACCCCAGCTCAACGACCTTGCCAAGTAACTCCCCAGGAATAAGAGATCACACACTCAGGACAGAGACTGTAAGTAAGTATCAAACTTTATTCCTTACTAGCCCTTCTTGGGGTCAAGTTTTTCAGTATTCGTGAGGATACAGTCTTCTAGAACTAAGCCTTCATGTCACTAAAGCTTACTCTCATAAAAATGAAAAGAAGTCTGCTTTTAAAATAATTTAGTGACCCTTCTGGAGTGATACAGTGCTGAAGACTTAACAGTACCTGTGTTGCTATACTGGTTATTGCACACCAAACAACTCCATCTCTCAGCTTTTTAGGTCTTTTACAACAGGCAGCAGTCACGCTTGTGTCACATGCTTTGCATACCTCACTTCCACAATTATCTCAGGGTGAACCCTCTCAGTTCATTCACCCTCAAGTCTCCCACAGTATATATGCACTTGAGCTCATTCAGAAAAACAAACAAACAAAAAAAAAAAACCCACCAAAACAAAACTCCTTGTTTTCCAAATGTTTGATCTGATGATTTGGTGCTTTTTCTCAGCTTATTCCTAAGACAAAGGTTTGAATGGGCAGAGTTGTGTAACGCTGGTTAAGGGCTTGTGGTGGAACACCATGCTCACGCTTTCACCAAGCAAGTGAAAACCATTGCAGACAGCACAATGCAAATAGGTTTATTTCAGTCTGTTTCTTCAGATTAATACACAGCTTGGCAATGTCTGGTTCTGCAGTTGCCAGCCCATTCTCTCCGATGTGCTGGCGTATCTTTCTTCAGAGAGCACAAGTCACCATAATTAACAAGCAGAGGGCTAGGTGCACTGGGCATTTAGGGCTTTGACCAATTTAGCAGGATAAGGACTTAAAACAAATTCTAACTGTAGATTTAGAATGAAAGAGTACTTTAAAAGTCAGCACTTCGTCATGGAAGGTGCCAATTAAATAAGCATGTACAGAACTATGCTAACTGTTCGCATTCAGATTTCTATCACTACTATCATAAGCTGTTTTACAGGTTTATTTCTGACAGCTAGAAAAATCCAAAGGCCAAACACACATCACTATTAAAATAACCCTCCATAGGTATTCCTGGTTTCCACTTCCAAAAAGTGATGTCCCTTTGGAACTGTAGGAGAACTTACAATTGATGT